TTACTTTCTGTGAGAATCTGACAGCAAAAGAGAATATAAGACAATAGCATGAGGGGATGGTAGGGTCAAGGGAAAAATTTTTAACAATAGGGTAGAAGTGGCAAGTTTGTAGGCAGTTCCAGCAGCCAGGAGATAAGGAGAAATTGAAGATAAGAGTGGAAAAGAATGGCAGAGGGGGATGATCCCAGAGACTGGAAGGACTGAGCTGGAGGGCACAAAGTAGAGGCTTAGCTTGGAAATTAGACATTACTCTCTCTTTCTTAACTCTTTCCCAGAGCCTAAAGCAAAAAAAAGGAAGGGGCAGCTGAAGATGTAGGAGGTTCTAGGAGTAGCTAGGTGGCACAGCAGATGGAGTACCAGGAGCCAGGAAGACCAGAGTTCAAATCTGGCCTCAGACATTTCCTAGCAGTGTGACCCTAGGTAAGTCACTAAACTTTTGTTTGCCTTTTTCTTCATCTCTACAATAGGGTTGTAATAATAGCACCTATCTCCCAGGGTTGTCGGGAGAATCAGTTGAGACTAGAGTGCTTATCATAGCACCAGGGGCATAGTAAGTGCTACACAGATGTTAGCTGTTATTACTCTGAGTTAGGGAATCTAGGAGGGGAGAGTGATAAGTATGGATGGCTTTGGTTGTTGTGAAGGTGGCCTGGACAAGAGAGGAAAAAGATCCAGCATCCCCACTGTAGGGAGCGCAAAAGTCAACCAGGGAATAAAAAGAATGCTGTATAGCAGCTGTGGTCTGGAGATTAGAGAACACAAGTTTGTTGTGGGAATTTGTCAGCAGAGCTGGGACTAACTCCATTAGCATCCAGCACCTCAGGAGTAGGTGACAAAAAGGTGGGGACACAGTGTTATGGACTGGCAGAGCCTGAAAGGCAAAAGGCCAAGAGGGCAAATGACTCAAAGGTAGGAGACTGCACTAAATTTAGTGGAGGAAGCCACCTGAAGGCAAAAAAACTGGGACCGGAATCCTCACTTTTATTTCTTAGCTGTATGACAATGGCTAAGAAACCTTAGCTTAGTGCCTTTCTTCTGAAACTACCTCTAATTCATCCTGTCTCTATCTTATTTGTACATAATTGTTGTTGCATGTTGTCTGTGAGTTTGAGACTGACAGGGACTGGGTTTGTTTTTTTTTTTTTTTTTTTGCCTTTCTTTGTATCCTCAGTGATTAGCACAGTGTCTGACACACAGTAGGAGCCTAACAAATCCTAGCTGACTGGCTCAACACCTCTTTTCTCTGAACCTCACCTTCCTCATCTGTCAAATGGGGATAATCATATATTTATACCACCAAACTCACAGTGCTGCCATGATGAAAGCACTTAGTAAAAAGTGCACCAGAAATGGGAGCCAGGCCTAATGTCTATTTCTAAATCCTCTCTGCTTTTTATTCACACTCAACCAACCTTCACCCCATGGCAACCAGGCTGGGGGAGGGAAAAGAAAGCTCAGAGAAAAGAAATCCACAGATAATAAGAATGCTATTTTACCCAATGATTTTTCTTCCTCCTTCTCCCACACTTTTCCTTGTGGCCTTGGCCTAGGAGTCAGACTCCCAAACTAGTAGTCCTGGCTCTGCCCCTGACTCACAGATCATCAGAGGGGGAAAGGCCTTCAAATATCAGGAGATCCAACCCTCTCATTTTGCAGAGGAAACTAAAAGCCCAAGTATGGAAGGGAATTGTCCAAGGTCACACAGTGACAAATTGAGGTCTTCTGACTCCAAGTCCAAAGCTTTATTCACCAAACTGTGATGCCTCATGGAGTGACATTGGAAAAATCAGTCCATCAGTCACTGGACATTTTTTAAGTGCCTAGTAGGTAGCAGGCACCTGGTTAAGTGGATACAAAGAAGAACAAAAAGTTTCTGCCCTCAGGGAGCTTACAATTTAATGGGAGAAAAAATATGTAGACAACTATATACAAACAAGATACATACACTATATAGGATAAATGGGGGGAGGCGAGTCTCAGACAGAAGGCACTAAAATTAAGGACTAGCAACGACTCTTTGCCAAAGGTAGAACATTAGTTGAGATTTGAAGGAAGCCAGGAGGTGAAGATGAGGAGGGAGAGTGCTCTAGGAATGGGGGACAGATGCAAAAATGCTTGGGAGTCGGAGACAGAAGTGTCTCATTTCAGGAACAAGGAAATCGCTTCTCCTTTTGAAACCTAAGCCTCCCTCCTCTTTAAAAGTCAAGGGGATGGGACAGAGTCTTTAAGAAACCAAATGTTGAGAACTAAAAGACAAAAGCCACCTTCAAATCAATAAAGCAAAGACAGATTGTTCTTTCACCTAGGGCTGTGGAACAGGAAAAAGAGCGCCAAGCTCTGGTCTTGTCTGATTGAGTGTTTAGGCAGGCTAGACTAGATACAGAAAGACTCAAGCAAGGAGTGGTCAGAGCACCGACTGGCTCTGAGGGTCGGTTGACCTGGGTTTAATTTCCTACATGTGAGACCTTGGGCAAGTTACCTGGCCTCTGTGGGCCTCGGTTTCCTCATCTGTAAAATGAAGGGAGTTGGCCAGATGGCCTTTGAGGTCCCTTTCTGCTCAGACCTATGACCCTGTCATTGGGTTCTGTGAAGACCCTGCCCAGTCCTCTAAATGGGTAACAGAAATACCAGGGAGTTTTCATCTTCTACTTTCTCACAACAAACCTGGAAAAGATTTGGGAAATGTGCTCTTCCCATCACATAGGTGCCGGAACTGAGGCGAAAGTCACAGAAAGGAGCGGTACCAGAGACTAGATCCCAGGTCTCCTGACTTCTCTAGTTCACAGAATGTGAAAGACCTGGGAAACCATCTTTTTGAAGATGAGGAACCTGAGGCTCCGATGAGGGAAATGATTTGCTTAAGTAACATTATTACTAGTTGCTAAGGGGCAGAGCCAGGGCTAGTGACTCTCAGTACTCTTCCCAAAACAAAGGCAAATGGAGACTTGTCAGTGTTTCCATCCAGAGCAGGACAAGAAAACCCAGTCCACATAATTTCCTGAAGCGGCTGAGCAGCAGCCTGGACCCTCTGGAAGAACGATGCAAGCCACTTGTAGCCCAGAACCCTGTGGCTCCTGTGCTGGGAAATCAGGACTCCTGAGGGTCAATCACTAGCATGACTGTCTCTATGGTATGATGCAGTCGGAGTCTAACCACCTGCGTTTCAGCCAAAGTTCTGGCACTGACTCACTTGTTTTACCCTGGACATTCAAACACTCCCCAAACCTCAGTTTCCTCCTCTATAAAATGGACCTCACAATATTCAGTCTTCTAACCAGGCTTTTAGGCAGCATGAGTTGCTGATGGAAATCAGTAGACATGGACTGAACTAACAGCTCTCCCTGTCACACCAACTGTGTATGTGGGGGGGGGGGGGGGGGCCGGCAAGGCCAGAGAGTCTCAAGTAGGACTAGAAGAGACCCTTCCTTCTCTGGGCCTCAGTTTCCTCCACAGCAAAACCAGGGGGATGGTATATGGAAGAGTTTTGAAATCCCTCCCACTTCTGACATTTTGTGGATTCAAGAAAAAGGAAGCTATGTATCCCAGTTACTGACTCACAGAATTTCATTCTGGAAGAACTTTAGGAAATTTAATGCTAACATGAAGGCAGGCCAGAAATCTCCTCTCCAACATCCCAATCTAGCCTTTAAATCAACACTTCCAAGATGGGAAGGAATCCCTATTCCAAATTCTTTTAATGCAGTCTAAACCTGTCTTCCTCCTCATAGTCTCCTCCCAAGCTGATCCTGATTCTGACCCACGGGGGGCCAAATACTTAAAGCCGGCCATCAAAGCCCATACATACTGAATGTGGAAGCCACAAAGTGGGGTCTGCCGAAGGGGATTATTTATAACCCAGCTAGAAGTTCTTCCAGTTCAGCTGGGAATTTCTCCCTATAGGGTTCTTGATATCACAGAGTGAATCTAAACACCAACTCTGCCAAAGTTGAGAGAAAAGAACGCCTATTTATGCAGCCTTTCAAAGCTCACACTAGGCTTTTCTTTAGATTAGCAGGATAAAGGAGGTAATGCAAGCATTATTCCCATATTTCAAATGAGAAAACTAAGACCAAGAGAGGGAAAGGAACTTGCCTAAGGTCACACAGCGTTAGTGGCAGGGGTCAGCACTGGACCCAGGTCTCTTGCCTCCCCCAGTCCAACACTCCTTCTACCGAATTGTAAAGTGGACTCGGGATCAAAGTAAGAGACAGAAGGAGTCGGGGTGCTTGGGGGTCCCTACTTTCTCTCCCCAAACTCAGGCCTCCTAATTCTCCGATATTAACGACCTCCACCCCAACCCCCCGGGCTTCGGGGGGCACAGATGGGGGTGTCGGGGAAGGGTGGCAATCCAAACCACCTTCCCGGAGGAAGCGGCTCTCACCAGCCCCCAGGGAGGCCACCCGGAGCCCAAGCCTTTGTGCTAAGGGCCAGGCAGAGCCCAGCGCCTCGGGGCGGGGAGGAGAAGGGGTAGCAAAGGCGCCCTGGGGGTCGGGCCGGGTGAGGGAGCTGTGGCTTTAAGAGCCGCGGCTCGAAGACCATGTGCTCGGCGTCAAACAAAAGCAACAAACAAAGGAGCGGGAGGCGGCGGCGGCTGCGTTCCGGACGGTTACATTTCCTCACACACCACGGGGGAGGGGGCTAAAGGGGGAGGGGGAGAACGCCCCCAACACCCCCTCAGTGCCCAGCTCCAGGGGCCAGAGTGATCACGGTTTTCCCACCTAGCCTAGATTCTGCCAGGGTCGTTAGGGAAGGGAGGAAGGGAGAGGATCAAGCGGGGATTCCCTCCCTCCCCCCCACCCCGGATGGGACCAACTTTGACTCTCCGGCCTTACCCCCCCACCCCCCGCCCGCGACCCGCAGCGCATCTGGAATTAACCCCTAAAAGGCCAACCCACTATGCCCCCTTCTGCCCCAGGGCAAGGGCTCTAGGGGGCTGGGGCTCCAGGGGCTGGGGGAATTGGGCAGTAGGTGGAGGTGAAGAAGCGGGCGAGCTCACTCACCTGCGGAGCGCAGAGACCAAGTGAGGCGAGGCGAAGTGGCCGTTCAGCCTCCCGGCTGCAGCCCCGGGGCCGCTTCCCTTTGTTCCCGAGCCTGGACGGCTGGATCCGGCCCGAGAGCGGAGCGAGGCTGGGGGCGCAGCTCGGCCCCTTTAAGAACCCCCGCCCTGCGGAACAATGTCTACCGCCCTCCCCTCACCCCTCACCCCCGCCCCCCCGCCGGGCTTCTTCCGGCGACTCTTTGTTTTCTCCTCCGACCGCGTAGCCCCCCTCTCCCCCCCCACCCCGAGCTAGCCCGGGGCTGGGGCTGGGGGGCAGCGGGCCGCGGGCTGATCCCCAGCCGGGGCCGCCGCCACCGCCGCCTCCTGATCCCTGTTCCGGGGTAACTGGCCCTTTAAGAACTGTCCGCGGCGGCGGCAGCGGGGGGATGGAACGAACCAAACATTTGATTCACAACATTCGGGGGCCGCGAGAGCAGCGGCGGGAGCGCGCGCCAAGGCTCTCGGGGGAGGGGAGAGGGGAGGGACACGGGAGCGCGCCAGGATCTAAGACTTCCCCCTCCTGCTCCGCCCCTCCCACTGTGTGGGAGGGCTCAGGACCCCTCCCCCTCCTCACGGAGCACGTGATTCCTGGGCCCGCCATTTTGGGCAGGGGGAGTTTTTTTTGCATTCCCCCCCCAGTTTCTTCCTTCTCCCCACTTATCTTGCCCGTACACAAGTGAGCCAGAACGTACTGATTATTCGGCGGTTTGCATTGAGCAACTACTGGATCTAGAGCTGGAAAAGGTTGGACTACATTTAGGAACCATCAAATGTAACTTATTTTACAGAGTGGGGAAACTGAGGCCTGGAGAACCGAGATAAAGAAATAAATTGCTCGAGGTCACACAAGTCAGTGGGAGCGCTGGGCTTTAATGCAATTCATCAAATGTTTTAAAGCACCTACTGGCTGTAAGTTGGGGCTCATTCTAATAAAAATCTAAGCTTTGCCTGAAGGGTTAAGTGAAGGGGAGAGGGGAGCAACCATTTTGGGCTGGGTAAATCATGGGGGGGGTGGGAGATTAAATTATGGTACCCTTTTCTTGCAAGCCCTGGTTGTTGTCTGTGGAGCCCTCCAGAGCAAAGGTTCTTTCATAAGCCCAGTGCTTAAAAGGAGGGGCACTGAACGAATTTCAATAGCTCTAATTAATAGAGAGCTGAAAGACACCTCAGAGGCCTCCTAGTCCAACTCCTTCGTTTTACAAACGAGGAAACTGATGCCCAGAGAATTTAAGTGACTTAAATTTACTTGCCCACCGCCTCCCACTCCAGAGCAAGGTCTCTTTCCACTTTACATGCTTCAGTGCCCTTTGAAGTGCTTTGGAAAGAATCCTGATTACTTATTATCTGGGGAAGTCACTCTGGGTCCATCCTTGCGTGCAAAATTTGCTGTGTGGATTAGGTGATTTCTGAGGCTCCTTCAAGTTAAGCTATAAAAAGGTCAAGTCACTGGTTCTATCATGTAATTTATAGAGTCCCTTCCAGCTATAACAACCTATAGTCCTTTGACGCTTACACCTTATTGCCATACAACACCCCCGTGGAAGGCAATATCAGGGAACAGGCTCATGAGAGAACTTCCCAGCGGTCACAGTATGTGCCTGTAACCGAAGAAGGGACAGGATTTTCTCTTAGGTCAGCTAGACAACTGACCTCGGTAGGACCCAGGTGTTGCCCAGTAGGGAGTGGAAACTCCAAAAGCCAAGTGGCCTGGAAGGACCAGGTCTAGCGATGACGTCACCGTGGGCTTCGCTGCACCGCGATGACGTCAGGTTCTCAAACCCAGAGTTACTCCTCCACGGTTTAGTGTTTACAGCAGGGCCCCTTTAAGAAAAAGAACCTGGTGCGCGGCCAATGAGAGGCTCCAGATGCAAATTAGCTAACGTCTACCTACTGCGGATTGGCGGTACCCGAGGATTAGGTCACAATCCCATCTTCCCTCTCCTTTCCCTCCTCCCCCTACCCCCGGTTTATAGTGGGCGAATCCAACGGCGAAGAGGAGGAGCCGAGAAAACTTTGTGAGCTGATGTCCCAGGCAGAGGCGCGGGGGACTGCGCCCAGCCCAGCGAGGTAGAAGCGTGCTTGCTTCGCTCCTCTCCTCCCGGAGGAGCTTCCGTGCACCTGGTGCGGTCACTCGTGGAAGGGAGCTTAGAGACTGTCTAGTCCAAGCCACAAATTTTTACAATGAAAAGAAACCGAGGTCCGGAGAGAAGGGGTGGGTGCCAGACCCCCAACTGGAACTCAGCGGTCCTAACGCCCATCTGTCCTGTCCAGGAGCTTTCTCTGGGGAGTGGAGCTGGCCTGTGGCCATAAGCCTTGGCGTTGTCCCCAGTTCCCAGAGCATATGTAGGAACATGAAGCTTTCAGAGCAACCCCTCCCCTCTGCACCTGCCAGTCCTACTCATGGCTTCCCAGGCCATAATTGGTGAAAAAACCGGCCCTAATCATGCCCAGCCCAGCCTCCTCCGTCCTCACTTTAAGGATAAAGGATTTGGAGTCTCGAATCTCACTAACCGGTAGTGGCAGAGCGACCTGACGAGTGACCTTGGGACAACAAATGAGAGGGGTTGGTGGTTCACCATCCCCTACCTCTGGATATTTTATGCCTTAAGGTCCCTCCCATTTTTTGATATTCTAGGTTCTGAGGCTGCTCTGACCTCTGACTTTCTGTGTTCTACGTTCTGATGTCCCTTCCAAGTCCTGCTTTTTCTGTGTTCTAGGATCTGACGTCTTTTCTTATTCTATCTAGCTCTGACATTCTACGTCCCACTCAAGACCAACCTACATCACTGATGCATTGCTTCTGCAAATCTAAAGGACAGGGCCTAGCCCAGTGATTTCATTGGCATGTAAAACTCGCTTTACCAATGCAGGTCCAGCACCCTAGTCTGGTCTTAGTCTTAGTGTTAGTTGCCTAGAGCACTGAGAGATTAGGTGACTTTGCCCAAGGTCACACAGCCAGGATGTGCTGGGACTTGAATGGAAGGGCTTCCTTGGCTCAAGACCTAGTCATTATCCCCTTTCCCATACGGGCTTTCTACATGTATATATTTAAGATATGTGCTTCAATCTTAACATTTTTTGTACTCTCCACAATCTGCCCCTTCCCTACCTAGCCAGCCTCAATTTTGCTTCTCTTTAAATTACATGGTATACTCCAGGGGCCTGGAAGTGAGGGCCTAGGCTCAGTGTACTCTAAGGGCCCTTCCAACTAAAGATAGGAGGAACTGGAACGCAGCTCAGCTGAGGGGATTCACAGAAATGACAAATGACTGGATCTGATCTCACAGCCATCACTACTGCTTACTCCCACACTGGTATGTGCTGTGTGGGAGTCCCAGAACAGCCAAACTTTGAGTCTTAATGAGGACAGACACCCATGAATAGCCACCTGATGATATCATACCCTGGGGATGGCACAGGGGAAGGGGAGACCACCCTATTGAACCTCCCAGCCCTTTCTATTCTCTCCTGTGGTCATGCCAGGTCATACAGCCTGGCTTACTACATGCATATGTTCTAACACTGACCATACCAAGGCTGGACCATCCCAGTCCATCTTGTGGCTATATTACCCCCTTCCTGGCGCCCTAAATGCCTGTGTGGGACCACTATAATCCATCAACCCCCCCCCCCAGTACTCCTGCAGGGGTGAGAGATATTGAGGGAACTTGGCTCTGTAGCACCTAGGAGCACAAGAACTCCAGCTGGGAGGCACCATGGAAGTTATTCAGTATAATTCCCTCATTTTACAAAATGGAGAACTCAGGACCAGAGAGAAAATCAGATTGGGCTTTAAATCCAAGGACCATCCAGCCACTAGTACCAGCATTCATTTTATAGATGAGATTAGTGAGGCAGGTCTAGAGAAAGGATCCTCCATGGTGTCAGGCACGGGAGCTTTATCAACACTTGGAAAGTTCCAGGAGGACCTTCTGTACGTTTTTTATGTGGTAAAGTCCCTTCCAGGTTTGGTATTCTACACAGCATTCTAAGGTTCCTTCCAGCTCTGACAGGTCCTGCCAGCTCTAACATCCCATAAGCTATGAGTTGGTACTTGCTTCCCCCACTCTGACCTCCGACCGGTTTCACTAGCCACAATCTTAGGGTCTTATCTGAGCTCGCTTTACTACCAGTGTGCATCATCACCCACCCTAAACACAAAGAGAAACCTCCTGTGTTACCTGGTATTCGGGAAAACCAGACGTTCTGGAGAGACTATTGCCACTATTCAGTGTATGAGTTATTTGTTTGTTTGTTTTTTTTGATGGGGGGCAGGGAAGAGGAAGGAAGGATGCAGGGGAGGAACAGCAAGAGCCCAGTCTGGTGTTGGAAGGAGCTAGCCTCTACCAAGTGCACCTTGCAAGGACAGGAAGTCTGGGTGCTTGCAGAGGCCAGCAGCAAGCTCGAGTTCCTGCTTTTGAATCACATCTGGTTAGTCTCCTCGCCCCCAAAAAGCTGCTCACAGCCAGGGTGGGGATTGGAGGGAGGTCACCTCCCCAGCAGCACTGACTCCACTGGACCCATAAAACATCTTTCTTCCAGGGCCCTTCACCCTCACCCCTCCACAGGCAATATCCCCTCCATTTTCTCAGGAGGGGAGCTGCTGCCCAGAGGGGTTAAGTAATTGGCAGAATCCACACAGCACAACCTGGCCAGGAGTAGTCCTGGAGACAACATCTATAAAGCACTCTGCAAACCTTAAAGTGCTATGTAAATGCTAGCTATTGTCCCCTGGGGAGCTCAGATTAGCCTTACAGGACAGGATGGGAAAGCATGTTATATGAGTATATATTTTTGAGAGATCTGGGTTAGCCTGGGGAAGACAAGGTTGAGGGGAGATGTGATTCCTTTCTTCAAGAATTTGAAGGGCTGTCACTGGGAAGAGAAATTAAGCTTGTTTCACTAGGCCTTGAAGGACAGAACCAGTAATAACAAATAGAAAAGTTGTATAGACTGATTTTGGCTCAAAGTAAGGAACAATGTCTGAATAGAGCTGTGCAAATATGGAATGGGTTGCCCAAGGAGGTAATGAGTTTCTTAAAACAGGAAGTTGGATGATTGCTTCA